GAGAGAGAGAGAGAGAGAGAGAGAGAGAGAGAGAGAGAGAGAGAGAGAGAGAGAGAGAGAGGGCTGCACTGTGAAAGAAGGAAGTGCACGCTTTTATAGACTTCCATTCCTTTCATTTTGCAGTCTGTTTATTTTTTGTGAATGCTTGCAACCTTTTGCGAAGCCCCATCTCCTCTATTTTAAAAATGAATCTGTTTGAAATCTCTGTGGTTGGCTTTGGTGCAGAAGCTGGCCTCTGTTTGGGGCAGAGGGATCACAATGGCGCTGACTAGGGTAGGTCGCAGTCTTCTAGTGCGCGCAGAGACGGGGCTAGCGCCTCTGTTTGTTCGCCGGGTGACAGTGCAGGCAGAGACTTCCACCGATGGCGGCAGCGCCGGGGAAGCCATGCTGCCGGTGGGAATCATGAAGGGGGAAATTGGTGAAGTATCCGGTGTGCCGATGGAACACTTGAGGAGGAGGGTGGTGATATTCCAGCCGGCGAAAGTCGTCACTCAATCTGGATCGTCCAAGTGGAACAAGTGGAGGATCACCTTTCTCTCAACGAAGAAGTGGGAGAACCCTTTGATGGGATGGACGTCTACATCGGACCCATTGGCGAATGTGGGGGAGGCCGGTTTATCCTTTGACAGTAAGGAGGCAGCCATGCAATTTGCAGAGAAACATGGATGGGATTTCGAGGTCCAGGAGCCCAAGCAGCCAGTGAAGAAACCCAAGTCCTATGCCGATAATTTCAAGTGGAGGGGTCCTGTACCRCAGAATTGAGCGGAAYGYCGCGSAGGCAAATCTGATGCCTGCATGTTTGTGTAAATCCATAAACCTGTTAGAATGATGCCTATCGTAGTTGACGATGGATGTAATCTATATGTAATCTACGACTGTAGATTATGTGAATTGTTCATCCATCGCTCAAGGCATCACTTCAGCTGCTCAACACAAATGGTACATGCTACATTATACTAATCAATCAATCCAGTGAGAAGCTGTTTTTCTTTGAGTGATTACACCTATTCCGGATGAATCAAATCATAATTGTACTTTCCGTTTTTCTCTTGGGAAAATCATCAACTCCATGCCCGATTTGAGACATATCGAGCACAATCCTATGCTACACAAGAAACCCCTTCACCCACACTCACCCAGGCACACACACACAGTGGGCGAAAGTCCGACGAAACAGTCTGTTCGGTACAGTCATGCTTTTTTTGAGTGTATAACTAATATGACCACACACACACACACACACAGACACACACACACACAGACACACACACAGAGACAGACAGACAGACACAGAGAGAGAGAGAGAGAGAGAGAGAGAGAGAGAGAGAGAGAGAGAGAGAGAGAGAGAGAGAGAGAGAGAAGATGAAGATATGCATGGTGGGTTCCACGGTGGACTGGGAGTGGCCGGGAGTCCGGGACAGTTGGGGTTGTGATGGGGGGGCAGTGTTTCTTCTTTGGGTGGCGGTTAAAATGGAGAAAATGAGGAACAGAAAAGATTATTGTATTTGGAATATATCCTGTTAATTGTCAGGGTAAAACCAATGGCAAAACTGCGTGACTGCGTGACTGAGTGACTGAGTGACTGCGTGACTGCGTGACTGAGTGACTGCGTGACTGCGTGACTGCGTGACAGAGTGCCAGTTCCGCGCTTACCGTCCTCTGAAGGAGGTGAGGAGTGCTGAGTGACTGCGTGACAGAGTGCCAGCTCCGCGCTTACCGTCCTCTGAAGGAGGTGAGGAGTGCAGTTCAGAGTTAAAAGCAGCAGGGATGTCTGAGAGTTGTTTTCGGTATCTTCACACAAAACACATCGCACCCTCATTAAGACTGTATCGGGGCGGGAAGATGGCATGTATCCATCCATAATCAGGGTGCGTTATGTTCGGGGGAAGACGGTACGTATCTGGGGATTAGATGTTCCGGCTGGGCCATCTGGACAGGTCGTGGCATGGGTAGGTCTGAAAAATGGTCCGCTGCTGGGTGGAAGTACCCTGACAAACGTGGCGACCGCCTTTTTTTCCTGACCCGGATTATCTGTAATTGATTCTGTATGGTCTGCCGACACAGAATTGGGGCGGATATTGGGCGTTCCTTGCTACCTATGAAGTGGTAGTACTTTCAGATTCCGAGGATGGAGTCTTTCTCCATGGTCTTTATTTCTTCGACAGTTCTTCAACCTTCAGCTTTTCGAAGGCATCCCCCTCTCTGCAAATGTAAAGGGAGCCATTCCACCCCCCCCCCTCTCATTTCGATAGCTTGCTTGCGATGATAATTAGAGAACCCAGTCTCTGCGTTGACGAGGAAACATTCTAGCTGTTGTTTTCACCAGGAAAGAAATGCATATATTTTAAAAAGTGTGGTGTCCTTAAGATGTCATCATTGCACTGACTGGCCGCAGGTGGTGCAGAATTACCTTGTTCTCTTCGTCTGGTTACATCTGGATTTGAACCCAGGACTGTGTTTCAAAAGTTCGTGGGTGGCACCAGCAGATAGTGTCGAATTATCTTGTCCTGTTCATGTGGTTACATCTGGATTCGAACTCAGGTCTGTGTTTCAACAGTTCGTGGGTGGCAGCGGCAAATATTCGAGCTCCTCTCTCTCTCTCTCTCTCTCTCTCTCTCTCTCTCTCTCTCTCTCTCTGTGGTGTGTGTGTGTGTGTGTGTGTTTGTGTTGGGTGTGCGTAAAGA